ATTGTGAATTCCCTAAAAGATAATTTCTGTTAGCCTCACTATTAATAGAAGGCTCAATGTGATACTTGACCAAAAGTGCAGGGGGTTAAGTGTCACAATTTGATGTGTAGGATTTCTTTTTCCTTTTTTGATTTTTTCGTTCTTTTCTTCGCATCTTTTCTTTTTTGTTCTCTTTTTTTCTTTTTGCATTTTTTTGCTTCCCTGTAGACATGTCTTGGTTGGCTGTTCCATATCCTCCGCCAAGCTATCCAGCTGCAGTTTTGAGACATACTGTCCCAATCAATGGTCCAGGCAATTTGGTCTTTCCCAGGCTATCCCTTATCCTTATTTCCACCCAACCATCCATGAGGAGATTGGGTCCAGAATCCACTTGAAAGATCCTACACAAGCTGAATCCATTCTGACAGAGAACACCAAACTTTTCCAAGATTTTGGCCCCTTCTTCTTCAAACCTGCTTCGGATTGCTCGGCTGCTTTTGACCATTGGTGGGGACTTATGTCTGCCATTATTTTCTGCAAGCCACTTGAAAGCTGCCTTAACGATACTTGTATTCATATTCAGGGCCGCATATCCTCGCCTTCCAAGCTTAAGGCTACAAGTATCCTTCCTTCATATGCTTCATATCCCTGACTGTGTCATGCAATTTGTTTTGTTTTTTTCTCTACAACACTAACTTGTTTAACCTTTGACAGCCAAAATTGGGCCTGCTCCTGAACCATTGGTTAGGGACCAACGTAAAGGCAAGGATCCAATGGATGCAACTACTCAGACAAACACCCCCTCAGTTCCAAAAATAATGGCAGACTCTTTCGTAGCCGCGCAGACACAAGCACAGAGAGGAACTACCACCCATACCCCTGCCGAGACAGAGGTCACGGCGAAGAAGAGAGAAGAGCCTTCCACTGCTCCTGCTCTAAGCACAGACCTAAGTGAGTGGGATATCCCTCTCAGCCAAATGGTTGGCCAAAAAACATCAAATCCTTCAGGGCAGCTCTACCAAGTAAGCCTTCACTTTACATATTTACAGCATCTCAATTTCCATTCACGCTCGACTGATCACTTACTTTTGTGCAGAGAAAAAGAAGGAGATTACTCCTTGCTGTTGCTGATGATGACGATGCTTCCACTTCTCCTCAACACATTCATCAAATTCCCAGTCCAATCAGCAATGTACCCACAGAACCCACTGTACAAACAACTCCACCACCACCTGAAGCATCGCAACAAACTTCCTTACAACCTGCTTCACAGTCTTCGCCACAACAATCTACACAGTTTGCATCACAACATCCTTCCACTTCTCCTCAACACATTGTACCTCCTGTCTCTAGCCCTCAATCATCACCATCCAACCCCTCCAATTCCCAAACGTCAAACAAAGAATCACAGAGGATTGAATTTGACATTTCAATCAACAGCCAATCCTCTCCAACAGATGACAACACAAAATCCCCTCAACCGGAAGTTCACCACAACCAAGGTAAATAGAAATACAAATGTTACTGTTCGTTTGGGGAAAAAAAGCTTCTCTTTAAGTAACTGGTATTGTTCTCCAATTTACAGGGATGGACATAATACAGGACTCATCTCCACGACCAATGGGCGAGACAGAACTTGAAGGTCCTCATGACTTTCCCCTGTTAGCTGAACGAGAGAAAGAGCCTCAAGGCGCTGATGCTGCCATTTCATCAGTACCAAAAACAACTCATCCTAATGCCACAACCATAGCTGAACAAGGCCAATCGTCTGCGCGCACGTTATCAGGACAGGTACTACCATTTCCAACCTCATCCTATTTACTCTTTATTTCTTGCAAGCATATATTCTCACCAAACTATTAATGTTCACAGGCCGTCGGTCCATGCCAAGATATTTGGGCCTAACTTTCTATTCTTCAACAAGATCTAGACGAAATATCCCCATTGCCTCAAAGGCTACATCTGTTTGATGCTGAAACTCAACAAACCTTAACCACCTTCATCAACCTTATTAACACCCCAGTTGAAGAAATCATTCTCCACAAACCTGATGAAACCTTGGCCTGTCTTTTTGCTGTTGTAAACCTCTCCCCTAATCCTTTCAACCCCATTCAACTAAAGCAATTGGCCAAGATCATCACGGAATGACCAACCCTTTCAGAGATGGTTCAGACTTGCTTGAAGGATATTCAAACCAATAAGGATTTCCTAAACGAAGCCCACACCATATCTACTTCACTCAAACTCAACCAGCAAACCTCTGCAGCCATTCTTCAGCAACACTCAGCACTTGAACTTGAGGAAGCCAAACTCATGGCAGAACTTGCCTCTGTCCGGCAAAGAAAGGCTCATCTGCAGCAGCAACATGACCAGCTTAATCAAGAAGCAAGGATATTGCTCTCCCAAATTAGACATCGTTCTGCATCCATTCAGACAACTAAAGCTGAGTTGGACCAAGGCCAAGCCATGCTGGCAGATGCTCAATTAGAGTGGGGTGTTCTAGCCGTTCTGTTCCCCAAATCCTAGGCTAGTTTATAATGTATTCTTTTGTATTGCACACCTAGGAATGATTTGGAAAGGTAGGAATGATTGCCTTTTTAATGATAAGATTGTTGATGGGCCTGAATTGGCTGAGATGGTGAAAGTGAGGGTTGCACTTTGCTGTAAGCAAAGTTATAGAGGCCTACAGTATTCAATGGACGACATATATTGTATTCTGGATAGTATCAAAGTCTGATTGAGGGGGTGGTGTTTGGTGTTTTTTGCTACAAGGGTGCAGGAGTTTGGTCAATCTGTGGTATGCAGGATTTTGGTCAGTCTGTGGTATTACCATATCTTCTTGGTGGCTACTTTTGCTCTGCTGTGCTTCAATGTTGCTATGCTTTGCCTTATTTTTGGCTTGTTGCTCTGGCTTAGTTTATGGGGTCAAGCATGCTCATTTCTGGTTGCTGCTCTGTTGTGCTTCAAATCTGCTCTGCTATATATGTACTCTGCTGCTGCTATATGGGATCAACGAATAGGCTTAAGTCTGCTGCTGCATATTGGCCTTTTTGCAATTGTTTGAATGATGTTTTGGTGTGCTGTATTGGAAGTTTGCTGCTGGATTGGGGAAAGTTATTGGAGGTCTGCTGCTGGCCTTGTTGTAATTGTTGGTCTGCTGCTGTAGTTATTTTTTTTTCTTTTGAGGATGAAGGATCAGGCTCAAGTCTCAATGGAGGTTGAAGGTTCAGGCTCAAGTCTCAATGGTGGCTATATGGTCTGAAGTTTGTTCATGCTGCCTTGGAGTTTCATCCGGTTGCCCTGTTATGTGGTTTTGTGAGGATGGGCTTGGAGTTACATTCTTATTATTTTCCTTCTGTTTTTGTTTCTCTTCGTTGGTCTCTCACCAACTAGGAGGTTGGACCTTTTTTAGCTCCAACCTCCTCTTTGTTGATGTATCATTGACACCTTGTATGTGCTTTTTCATCAATACAGTTTTTTGTTTTGCTGAACAAAAAAAAAATTGAATATCAATACTCTGTGTTTTTAATGGTCTGTTGTATGGTTGTTTTTATTTTTTGTGCAATTTTTCACCGTTTGTGCATTTTTATGAAGTAATCAATTCCCCTTCAAAGTGCATTATAGTCACCGCTATTTGTTTGTTCTATGGGCTTTTTTTTGCTTTGTTTTGGACAAAATCATGGCATTTAAAAAAATCGAACAAACATAATTCATGTGGTAAAAGCGAACAAACATTACTACTTTCAACTTGCATTGTTTGTTAGACAAATATCACATTGCACTGGACAAATATTACTATAGTCATTTGGGCAAATATGACATTGCATTGTTTGTTCTGTACCCATAACTTTGGAATTATGTGTATCACATTACGTATAGGCCACGATAAAAGCAAACAAACATTACTACTTTCCCTCGTTTGTTCCAGTCCCAAACATTGGAATTATGTGTACAATCAATACGCGTGGGAAATTAGTATTATCATAGATGTGACCTAAAATTTGTCACGACAAGCTGATGCAGTAATCCAGTTGTGGTTGGGCATCGAAATTACACTCGTACTGGCAAGCCATGATAAAATCGCTACCCTATTTGTTGTAATTGCAATCAATCACATGCACGAACGATACTCGCCCATCTTTGTATTGTTCACATCCATAACGAAGTCAAGCACCAACTTCCGGCGCACAGAAGGATGAAACTATGTACAAAAAGCGAATAACACAAATCAGGTACAGTTACAGCGGTAGGAAATAAACGGATTTATTTCGCAATTTGAAATTAAGCGGTACAATGTACCTTGTGTGGACCGCTGGGTATATCAGGACGCTGCATGTACTTGATCACAAACATCCCACAGTCGAAAGTGCTACAAATGAAATGTAACATTCAGTTTCTTGTAAAATATAAGCAGGTTCGTTAAATGAGTGATTAAGGAGTGAAGTCAATGTGACGCAGGGTTTGTGGATTACTCGTCCAGCTATTGTAATGGCCTTTGTTCTAACATGCGGACCTCAAAGGTACGCACGTCTACAGCATATTCATTTCCAAACTGTAGTTGCAGTAAGGCATGCATTGTAACACATCCAGTTGCCTGGCGCTGAAGTTTCATCTTATACTTCCGAACACCTTTCACAAGGAATTGTAGTGTCACCTTTGCCCAAAATCATCAAACGAAGATAAACTCTGTTTTGCAACGTTCTTCATGGACAGAAACTGAACTGAAAGAGATTTGCTTTCTTCGCTTGCGTATGTTTCCTCCAACGCAAGGCGACGGTTGTTGTGCATGTCCCCAACTTCTTGGACGGTACGCAACTGTCCAACGTGCATATCAATTATCTCATTGGACAACATTCCATTCACTTAATTGTCCTCCCAATCCGCCAAAGTTTTCTGAAAATATGTCTTCTGCAATACACAGCCGACCTAAAACACTTACTTACCGACACATATACTGGAAAGAACCATGCAGTATGCCTCCCGTCTTTGTGTACTTGCCGCTGTCCGTTAGTCAATTGAACCGCGACCAAGTTGATTGGCTGGAACATTGTAACAGACCAGGCAACTTGCGAAATAAGGTTTGCCCTTTGTTTAAATGTAATACGAAATAACAATGTCCTTACATGGATATGTCCATCATGCAAATATAGTGGAAATAACATTGTCAGATGCCACGACTTACAGTGTCGGATAGCCATGCCCTTGGTTTCAGCGTGCGCATGTCACGTCGCGTAGCACATTCGCAAGGCATTTCATGCAGATTCATAGACACGACAATGTCCCTACATAAAACGTATACATCAATCAGTAAGAAGCAACCTACAGCCTAGTAAAACTTAAACGTATCTGGCTTAACTCTACAACATAAGATTAGTTTTTCCTGTTGTACAACTATGGCAGATATTCCTGATTCTACTAGGCTCCAATCCAATGAAGATTAGTTTTAAGTTTTTAAAAAACAAAATGAAAAGACAAAGTTTTAGATATTACAACTCATGACATGTCCAATAGTATTTGCTAAAATAATATGTGAAAATTGAAATGCTCATTTACAGGTCAGCAAGTTAAAAAAAAAGAAACACGTTTTTTACAAATTGGAGCCAACAATATCCCAAAATGATCAAAATGGAAAATGTAAGCAGAGTAGAAGAAAATAGCTAGGGAAAATTGCACTTCATTATAAGTTTTCAAAAAAATTTGCAAATCATTGGTAAACTTTATTAAGTTTCATAATTAAAATTATAAAGGTTTCCATGAATTTGTAAATATTTTTGTGAAAATATCAGTGGTTTGCAATTTTCCCAATAGGTACATGTGTGCAAGATAAGACCAAAAGAAGAAAACTTCAGACATTAAATTTAGCCACTGATCTTTCCGTAGCCCACTGCATTAAATTCAAAGAAAATCCTACATACGACATGGATAAACCCATCATAAACCCATCAAAATCATAGAGAATGAAAAATTAAAGAACTGATACCTACAAGAATCAAATAAACATAGCACGACACATGAAAATTGTGGAATTCAAACTTATTTCACAAATACTACGGAACAGGTTAATTGCGAGTACTAAACTCATCCGTACCTTCCATTGTTTCTGTCGTCAAGTACAGGGTCAACAACTTCGTCTTCGGCTGCTGATAAAACCTCTATGCTCTCCAGTGTTATCAAGTCCTTCTATCAATATAAACAATCAAGTAACATCAACTCCTCCTATTAATATAAACAATTAACTAACTCACCACTGTTCAGAAATTTAATTTCCAAAGTACATAACATATCCTTATGGATCTAAAATTGGTGAAGCGATGTCTAACTTCTGAACAGAACCGCTTGTCCAACCTGTGCAGTTTGGACAGGATTTTGTCCGAAATCTGTAAGACAATTGTACAACATTTGTTACTGTAAACTTGCACTAGAATGACAAATATTAAAATACAACACAAATAATGGTTCTATTATGATCAGTAATGCTATTGGCATCAATTGGTAATGAAGCATACGAAAGGTGAAGTGATGTGGCGACTTGGGAATTTTTCGGCAGTAAGTCGAGTACTTATTTTGCTATCGTTGCACGAATTCATATCCCCTACGTCTGTCGCTTCAACACCTCTTCCTCTTCCTCTTCCCTTTCGTGTGCCTGTTACAATTTGTCCCGCTCCCAATGTTTGGGCAACCTTACCAGCAGAAGGATGCACATTGTCTGCTTCTCCTCGCATCGGTGGCAAGGTTTGCAAATCATCAAACGAAGATAAACTCTGTTTTGCAACGTTCTTCATGGACAGAAACTGAACTGAAAGAGATTTGCTTTCTTCGCTTGCGTATGTTTCTTCCAACGCAAGGCGACGGTTGTTGTGCATGTCCCCAACTTCTTGGACGGTACGCAACTGTCCAACGTGCATATCAATTATCTCATTGGACAACATTCCATTCACATAATTGTCCTTCCAATCCACCCCCTGTAAATCTTGAACATTACCCTCATTTGGGCTACCATAATAATTTTGGAAGACCACGCCGCCATCATGCAACTCGACTCCCATGGTAGGGTTAACACCCTTTTTCTCTGAGCGAGGCAATTGTGTTGTTTCCGATAAAACTGCCAGCACTTGCTGCATCATTTGCTTCATTTCAGCAATATGTGTCTGTTCAGTAAACGGTTGTTTCCCAGACAATATAGCTGCAACCAGTTCGTTCAGCATTCCTTTCAGTTCACCAATGCTGGAGGATATGTTAATGTTACAATTTCTTTCAGTCGACTTCACCTAATCACACAAACACATACATTAACCTGCTACGATATTTTATCTTCAAGTAACCTCTATAAATTGTGTGAAGCCTGTGTACTGATTGCTTTTGCTTACCTTTGCATTGTCAACAGCTTCCTTCCCTCGGAAATTGAGCAACATGTCCCTTATTTCCACATTGCTGTGAAGCACTTGCTTCATGGTTTCCTTCAGTTCACCAATGTCGGTCTCAACCTTGCTCAAACGAACATCATCAATCCGTGGTTTCTGTTTGTTATTGACATGGTGTGTGTCAATTGCGTCATCAATGTCGTTGCTTTCCGCTTTTGTTGGATGAAACTCCACCTAACATAGTTGTCAAATCGGGATTCAAATCATAAATGAAAATGGTAATGCACTGAATCGTTAATCGAGCTCAACTGTGAATCGTAAAGTTTCCGTCTGCTTTCTTAAGTTGCACACAACATATGTGTACACACTTTACATATTAAATATATCTAATAAAAATTAATTACTCCATTCGTCTGAAATGGAAAAAAAATGTTGTTGTAAATGATGCTCATCTGGTGTGGATAAAAACTTCACAGTCGATCCCATGTTTACCACTTTACCTTTTCCCAATTACATAAACAAAGAGAAACTTTCAATTAAAAACTAACTAACAATAACTGAACGACAATGTTTTGACCTTTTTACAAGGTTAAAAAACCAAAATCTTCAAGCTTTTCCAAAAATCTGACTTCAGGGCTTAACGAAAATTCATTTCGTAACAGAAGTAGTACATAAAATTGAATTTGTAAGGCTACAACATCGTCCACATGGAAACTTCATGTTTTCCCCCCAAAAGTTCGAGTATTTCAGAGTAAATAGGGAGGGACAAACTGAAAATATGACGTACGCTAAGGAATGGGTCACTGTTTGTCGGTGCTTGTCACCTAGTCATAGGAACACATATTCTGTCTGTCACCGTTATCCATAACACAGGTGGGGCAATGCTGTCAAATGTGCAGAACGAATGGGTTGATTACCTCATGTTGCTGCAACATTTGCTTCCTTCTCATAAGTCGCCTTGTCTCCCGTATTTCGGCATCACCCCAATCATTTAGCCGAGGGATGGAGTGTGTAGTAGCCGACGTACTCTTACAGGGAGGGGCAAAACGATCCAAGTAAAATAGCTGCATTATAAGGGGGAAAAGATATTTACTATACACTTCCGAGCAAAATGATCCGTATTCGCTAACAATGCATACAACTTATAACACAATCATATGTATGTGTTTATGTGTCTCAATGGCAGAATCCCCATGCAGCTTTCCGGTTAAAAAGATAAGCTTTTCGTGGTTACAAAAAATGTGGCCCGTACAGGTATATTTGTCATGTTGTTCAAAAACAGGTAAGTTTGTATTTCGCAACGACTGCCATTTTATTGAACCATATGCACAGCAATGGATGAAATATGTAATCGGCATGGTACAAACAAACAACGGTCGATTACGTTACCATTAGAAGGAAAACACATCCAGTTACCTCGCGCTGAACTTTTATCTTATACTTCCGAACACCTTTGACAAGGAATTGCAGTGTCACCTTTGCCCAATTACATGCCCCCATACCGGTCACGTCCTTCACGGCATGAACGAACGACAGGCTCAACGCGGTCATTGTGGTAGGACACAACATGGCCCCCAACACGTACAGCGCAAACTTCCGCCGAAACTCGTCATCCGCACCATCAGTCTCAGTCAGATAAACTCTCAACTAGTTCAAAGGAATGATTCCCTTAACAGCTCCAACCTCTTTGTACATATTGGGATATGCGTCTATTGAACTAGTGAACTGCACGTCATTGCCTTCTGACCGTATACCCAATCAGACATGCACTTCCTCACAGGTGAGCCTCAGGCGACGGCCATGAACAGTCAACGAACACGTGTCGGGATCGAAGTTCTGTATCAACCATTGACACATGTTGTGATCTATACGGGTACACTTTGACCCGAGGAGGCCACCGAACCCAATATCAATGACTGCCTGCTTTTGTGCTTCGTTACACCGGTTCACGATATCAACAATTGCCTTCAATGATATGCGGACTTGCATTTTACTCCGCAATGTTATTAACGTGAACATTAATACAAAAAATTAACCAACATTGTGTCGATAGCAGGTCCTCCCCAAATGCAGTTACGAAAACACTAAGCACGTAAATGCCTTTGCAGATTTCTTTGCAACTTCTTCGCCCAGTTCCTTGGCACTTGCCTTAGCCATGTCCTGAAACCTCTTTTTCTCATCACAGGGGAGTTCCTTCAACCTTTCCCCAATATCCTTTCGGCTCTGTAGGTGTTACACCAACGTGACGCACATACAGGACAAATAGGAGCTGTAAGTCCAAAATAATTGTCACCAAAAGTTGTATCACTCGCAATGTGTGCACATTTTCTGGTATTTACATATGTTTGCACACACAAATTACTATTTCGCACATAGTTGAAATAAAAACGGACATGGAATTTTACAAATAATCGGAGTTTATAAGAACATACAATATGGCGTCTATGACTGCTGGAAATCACTGAATGCGACATAATAGAAGCACATGATTGGTGTGCGCATGGAATAGAAGTCCATACTTTGTTATCACAGTAGTCACGTGTTTCCATCACGGTACTCTACTTACTACATGTCTGCACACTAACCATATTTGGTCTAGGGTTGTCTGCTTCTCGTCTTTCCTTGAATTGTTCCTAGCTGCAACCATTGTCAATTTCGGCGCAAGTATAAGTTAGATA